CAGATATATAAGGCCATACTCTTTTAAAGAAGGCATGAATGAATATCCCCTGTTTTCTCTTTCACTGAATCCCTCTTTTCCTACCTTCCCTTCTCAAGGAAGCAGAAAGGACAGGCGACGGAGCCTCAGAATTAGTTACACACAGAGAGGGTGATTCTGTCGACAGAAGATATTCCCTCCATGATATTTCCCAGAGTTTGCTATCAGTTAGTTATTCTGCCAATCAGAGGATATTCCCTCTTTTAAAGAAGGCATGAATGAATATCCCTTGTTTTCTCTTTCACTGAATCCCTCTTTTCCTACCTTCCCTTCTCTTCTTCCTCTCCATTTTCTGTTTCAGGAGGTTAAGCCACCCTCGAAGGGGNTGTTTTCTCTTTCACTGAATCCCTCTTTTCCTACCTTCCCTTCTCTTCTTCCTCTCCATTTTCTGTTTCAGGAGGTTAAGCCACCCTCGAAGGGGCTTCCGAGGTGAGCGGTATCTCACCATTTTCTATATACATTTTTTTTTAAATTGATATCTTTTGAAGGGCTACACAACTGGGGTAGCCCATCCCCCGACCCATAACCCCCCCAACCCAGGTGCAGGCAGGATTTGATCCCAAGTCTCCACTACAACCAACAGGAGACCTTACCGACCAGCTGGTTGGCACCTTGCAATATACATATTAAAGTTTAAACAACTGTCATACAGAGAAAACCCCATATGTCTTTGATGTTATTGTTAAGTGGAATTTTAAAAGACACAAATGCCCTTCAAGTGTCATCTAAATGTTGATAAAAAATGAACAGTCCCAAATTCTTGCCTCTTCTATTCAAGAAAGCTGGGGTCACTAGAATGCCCACTGAGACGTGACTAACTTTCTTGAATAGAAGAGGCAAGAATTTGGGACTGTTCATTTTTTGTAAATGTTTGGATGGTTGATAAAGAAAATTAAATGACGCTTGAAGGGCATTTGTGTCTTTCAAATGCCACTTAACGGCTGATTAAACGGCTGGTTAACAAGAGGTACTGGATTGCACATTTTGAAAGTTTAGGTACTGATTGTCGCGTTTTAAAGTTCAGGGACCAAAGTGGCACTAGGCCCAAAGTACAGGGTACTAACCGGGAATTTTCCCTTATTTAAAATTATATTTTTGCAGTTTTCAAGGATAAGATAAAGTAAATATATTATTAATAATATTTTTTGAGAAATAGATTTTCAATAATATTGTATACTAAATTATTAGATGTTTTTTACCGATTATAAGAATATCATTAAAACTTTATTAAAAATGTAAAAAACCTGCAAATAGCAGCAACTAAAGGACGTATAAACTCTGGGTATTAATGCATACATAATATACTACTTTATTATATTTTTTATTTTAACGAACTTGTGAAATGCAGGTCAGCCTGATTTACCAATCATCAGACAAGAAAAATGGGTTGATACCAAGGCCAGATTTCATAATGTTGACTTTTGAAATTGGGCCAATGTAACTCCACTCTGTAAAATATATAATCAAAAATTTATAGGAGCAGTGGAAACTAACCACAGCAGCTGGAACCTCTGCCTCATCACTGACATCACTTTCATCAATATCAGCAGCTGTATCCCAGTCAACGTTAAGTCTCTTAGCAGCCTCTTGAGGATTAACACCCGTGTCAGTGGCTTTTGCATATAGAGATTTGCTGGGTTTTTGCTTCGGTGCTTCAACCTATGAAAAAACAGAGCATCAAGAAAATTATAAAAATAAAAACAATCCCCAAGGGAAAAATAAGAAACTTCTCAAACAAGTCACTTCAGAACAGAAATCTATTCAGTTGTTTTTCTCCCAATCCACAAACAATTTTAACAAATGAGTCCCACTATGATACTATGGTACCTTAACACTGATAACCAATCAACTGGTATTCATCCAAAGTCATGTGGGTTTCTGATTGGTTAAAGTTTTTCAGGTCCCATACCTTTCCAGCACCATAGAAATTGCCACAACTAAAAAGGTAGTTGTAAATAAACGATCTAAAAATGGAACTTTCAGAAGCAAAAGTTACTTCCAGTTAGTTTCCCTCTTCAAGTTATTAGCAAATAATAAATATTAGGTGCCCACCAAGATGAGTTGCTAGTTAGAAGAAGCTTCCTAAGCTAAGCTACCAATATATGGAAAATGGATCTCCACTGATAAAGGAAAGTGCAATGCAATAAAATTCCCTTGAATCCAGGACAAGAATATAGATCCTAGTATTCAATCTATACACCAATATCATGGTTTGGTGTTTGTACCATGCTGAATTTTATTCAAGGTGTTGTATTTATAACATCTTTCCTTAACAAGGAATTTGCCTAGATGTACCAGTGCAGTATACGATTATCAATATCAATACTTCTGTTCAAAGCATCTTCATGTACTCTACCTGTAGACTCTCAAAAAGTATATGACCCAAAATGCTAGCTTAAATTTTAGATTCACAACTAGTGGAAGGGGGCCCGTGCTTATCATGGGCCAAAAGACTATCAATGGATAGGTTATTCATGTATCATTAATCAAAGTGTGTGACATTTTTATATAAAAATAGAGAAGATAGCAGGTGAATTTAAAAAATAGAGAAGATAAATACATTTTTAACATTTTTGTCCCATACAGTCCTACTTAAATACAGATTTGGTGCACTTCTCTTCACATGGACTCAATGCTTTAAACATGTTACAAAGGAAAAACCCTTGAATATTTGAACATTTGTCATCAAATGTGGTCTTAATCACGTACAAGGTGTAAAATTTAGTTAGTTATTAGAGATGATCTTTTTCTTTTCCTTCATCATTACTTGGTGGAACTGTGTACATCTTTTCACAATGAAATCTCGTATATAAAATGAATTTCTAGCTATTTTATATTTTAACCATAAGGTCCAATTGTATTTTACCAGATTCAAATACAATCTCAACTTTAAATGACGACATTTAAAATTTACATTATTTTTTTTTTAATTTTATAATGCCCCCCATAAAATTTACATTATTTTGACAACTTGGATTTGATAAAACATTGCAAGATTCCATACCCCTGTCAGAGTTGAGTACTTGATCTAATCTACATTCTACAAAAAGAAAAACAAAAACAAAAACAAAAAGACAATGACTGAATTCTCTGTTAAATTTTAAATAATCGAAATCATCATTTCTATTAAGAAATGTTTAGCAATCAGCAATCAAAAGAACCTAACAAGGCAGATATAAGTAGCAAGAAACTGGGGTTTCAGGTAATATTCAAAGCACGTTCACCATAACCAACTTATCTGAGGTAAGCTTGTTTAAGTTTGGGTGGCAGCTCATGTAGGTTTCCAAAAACATTCGTCACCACAAAATTAGGTTAGGTTGAGGGCTTGTCAAACCTCTACCAATCTAAAGGTCAAATATATGCAATTCTCATTGTTAATATAAATTATATGCAACAAAAATAAAGTGATGGGTGCGGTACTGCAGTTGATGGCTCAGTTCAACCAATGTCTGAAATTACAGAAGTCTAATGAAACTGAAATAGCAGGTGGATTTAAAAAAAAAAAAATAGAGGATAAAAAAGCCTAAGTTCCACTTTCTCCAGGGGCATTCAAGCTACCAAGCCAACCACAAGTTTACAAATCCCAAGCAAGAAGTACCTTTAGATTATCAATTAAATGGGAAAGATAACTCCAAATGTAAAACTTACTTTCTTTCTTTCTTCTATGGATATGCATCCCTTTAGGTCTCAATTCCTGTCAATCCTAAACCAGATCTGAAACCAAACCTAAAACCTACTATTCTTTTTCAAACTTAAAACTCAAGGATAGAAGTCATTTAGAAGTGACACTTCAGACCTGGATTTAGGTTTACCTTTGCTCGACAACTTGAAACCAAATCTTTAATCATGTCTTTCTTTGAAGTTCAAAACCCAAAATTAGCTTTGAGAGAGAAACCTGACCTGAAATCAGGTTTACTGTTTTGATTTTTTTTTCTTAATTCCAGACTTTTCTTGAGATTATTCTGTTCTCTCTTTTTACAAGATAAATAATCATTTAGAATATGCAGTTCAGATCAAGTTCAGACATGCTTTTAAATTTTAAATAGTTGGAAGAAGACTAATCTGAATAGTATTGTATTGGTTAAGAAAAAAGGGTCTAGGTAGATTAGAATAAAACAGAACAGGGTTCATGTATCAAATCTTAAATAGTTGGAATAAGACTAATCTGAATGGTCAATACCTATTTGGCTAACCCAGGAACAAAAAGTAATTTTTTTTGATGAATAATAATAAGTTTATTGATTCAGAATCAACTTTAGAGAGAGTTCATACATCATCCCAACGAGAGGCACGAGCTGCAGCCCCTCCTTGAGTCTTACAAGTAAACTAGGAAAGAAAAACAATAATCACAACTGAACCCAAAATAATTCTTCCCTATTTACCCCTTGCTTAGCTAACACATCTGACAAAGTATTTG